TGGTCATAGCTAATCACATGCACATGTCATGTGATTAGCTGTGGCCAAATCACAGCTAAGCACAAAAAAAAAAAAAAAAAAACCCTGAATGAATCGATGTCATTCAGGTAAATGAAAGTAATTCTTTGCTATAAGCAAATTGTGTAAAAAAAAAAATATTGATCACTTCCCCAAAGTAGTACAATGTTACTATGGTAACATTGTACTACTTTGGACATAGTGAAATATGAAAAAAAAATCTTAAAAAAAAAGAAAAAAAAAGTACTAAAAAATTTTAAAATAATGAAAAAAATTTTAATGAAAAAAAAAAAAAAAATTTTTTTTTTTCATACTGTCACCAGTCAGTGCCCTGATCACCGCCATGCCAGTTATATGAAGACGCTGTACTGCACTGGTGACAGTATGTAAAAAAAAAAATAGTGAAAATAATTTTTAGCATTTTTTATTTTCCAAAAAATTATGACAAAAAAAATACAACTTCAAAAAACTCGCCATGCCTCTTATGAAGTACGTCGGACTGTCTACTCTGCAAAAAGGGGTCATTTGGGGGGATATCTGTACTGTTCTGACATTCTTGGACCTCAAGAAATTAGATTGGCCGTCAGTACTTCAGGATTGATCAATAATCAGATATATACCATAGTTTGTGAACTCTATAAAAACTTTCCTACAAACTAAAAAATACATCCTAATTTGGGTTATTTTCACCAAAGACATGTAGCAGAATACATCTCGGCCTAAATTTATGAAGAACACTTATTTATTTGCAAACTTTTATAACAGAAACAAAGAAATTTTTTTCAAAATTTTCGGTCTTTTTTGATAATTTAGCAAAAAATAAAAATCCTCGGCGGTGATTAAATACCACCAAAAGAAAGCTCTAGTTGTGTGAAGAAAATGATAACATTTTAGTTTGGGTACAATGTTCTATGACCGCGCAATTGTCATTCAAAGTGTGAGAGCTGAAACCTGGAAAATGGCCTGGGCAGGAAGGTGTAAAATTGCCCAGTATTCAAATGGTTAAGCTGGCCACAGGAGAAAAAGGTTAATGAGCAGTGGGTGTCTTTAGGATTTGGTCACACAGAAGTTTTAGCACCCAGAGTCATCTATGGCATGGTAATCATTTTCTTTATGCCTAAAGCAAAAAAAAAAAAATAACCCTTTCACTTTGTATTTTAGTCATTTATGAGCATGTTGGAAGGGAAGAGTGCTTTGAGAACCATAAGAAGGTAAGTATATTTGTAATGATCAAAAGCCAGATCACCATTACTTAAAAATGTATCTAAACCCAAAATCAAAAATATCAAATACTGCAGCTTACCAGTCCTTAGATGTGGTGACTGCTTTAGTTTTCTTTTTTAAGGTTTTCATCCCATTATTTTTACTTGGTAATCCTGTGACTAACACACTTCCTGTCCGTGGGTGGTCTCACTTCTCCCACTTCTCCACTGTATCTATGGAAAGAGCCGTGGTTTTCACACAGACTGGACATCAAACATGACTGATTTTTGTTCATCTCCATGAAATAAAATTACTACTTTACAAAAAAATAAGGATGTTTGTGTTTTCTGTAAAGCTCACAGGAAGTGACAAGGGCACTGCATTTCTGTACTTGCTGAAAATATGTTTAGCCTGAAAAAAGAAAACGAATGCAACCACTGCATCTAAGGACAGGTAACCTGTAATATACACTGCTCAAAAAAATGAAAGGAACACTTTTTAATCAGAGTACAGCATCCAGTCAATTAAACTCCTGGGATATTGATCTTGTCAGTTAAGTAGCAGAGGGTGCCGTTAATCAGTTTCAGCAGCTTTGGTGTTAATGAAATTAACAACAGATGCACTAGATGGGCAAAAATGAGATGATCCCCAAAACAGGAATGGTTTTAGAAGTGGAGGCCACTGATATTTTTTTCCCCCCTACTCATCTTTTCTGTTTTTTTTACTAGTTTTGCATTTGGCTAGGGTTAGTGTCTCTACTGGTAGCATGAGGAGATACCTGGACCCTACAGAGGTTGCACAGGCAGGCCAACTCCTCCAGGATGGCACATCAATACGTACCATTTCCAGAAAGTTTACTGTCTCTCAGCACAGTCTCAAGAACATGGAGGAGATTCCAGGAGACAGGCAGTTACTCTAGGAGAGCTGGACAGGGCCGTAGAAGGTCCTTAACCCATCAGCAGGACTGGTATCTGCTCCTTTGTGCAAGAAGGAACAGATTGAGCACTGCCAGAGCCCTACAAAATGACCTCCAGCAGGCCACTGGTGTGAATGTCTCTGACTAAATAATCAGAAACAGACTTCATGAGGGTGGCCTGAGGGCCTGATGTCCTCTAGTGGGCCCTGTGCTCACTGCCTGGTACCATAGAGCTCGATTGGTATTTGCCATTGAACACCAGAATTGGCAGGTCCACTAATGGCACCCTGTGCTTTTCACAGATGAGAGAAGGTTCACCATGAGCACATGTGACAGACGTGAAAGGATCTAGAGAAGAAATGGAGAAGGTTATGCTGCAACATCGTTCAGCATGACCGTTTTGGTGGTAGGTAAAAGATGGTCTGGAAAGGCATATCCATGGAGGGACACACAGACCTCTACAGGCTAGACAATGGCACCCTGACTGCCATTAGGTATCGGGATGAAATCCTTGGACCCATTGTCAGACCCTACGCTGGTGCAGTGGGTCTTGGGTTCCTCTTGGCGCACGACAATGCCCAGTATCATGTGGTGAGAGTATGCAGGCAGTTCCTGGAGGATGAAGGAACCATTGAATGGCCCCCACGCTTGCCTGACCTAGGTTCAATAGAACACCCTCTGGGATATCATGTTTCGGTCCATGCGACGCCACCAGGTTGCACCTCAGACTGTCCAGGAGCTCAGTGATGCCCTGGTCCAGATATGGGAGCAAATAACCCAGGACACCAACCATCATTTTATTAAGAGCATGCCTTGATGTTGGCAGGCATGCATAGAAGCACATGGGGGCCATACAAACTACTGATTACCATTTTGAGTAGCTGCAATGAAATTTCAACAAAATGGACTAGCCTGCTGCATCATTTTTTTTACTGTGATTTTCGGGGTGTCTTTAAATTCAGTCCTCTGTAGGTTGATAATTTTCATTTCCATCAAACGATGGGGCATCTTTACGTTCCCAACACATTACCCAGTCCATATCAGTATAGATATCCAGCATGAGAATTTTCCCATTGAGATCTGATGTGTTTTCAAGGTGTTCCTTTAATTTTTTTTGAGCAGTGTATTACATTTTTGGTTTTAGGTTTGGATATGCTTTAAATTGAAGGAATACAATAACGTAGTAGTAGCACACCAGCTATTACTGCATAAATACTGAGTAGGGGTATGGGTTACTTTTATTTTAAAACAAAAAACAATTATATTTGAACAATATTGTGTTGCTTTCAATACACTAAAGTTATATATTCTTTGTTTCCAACACTTTGCAATGTTTAATGCTGCCTTTTGTGCTCAATTTTGTTTTGGGCACTACGCAAGTTTGTAATTCACATACTGAACATTAGCAACTTACTTTATTAGTCTCCTGATAAATGGACTGTGCTTTAGCCCTGGAAAAGAATACCTTTGCATCTTCACTACATATTGAGGGTCCACCAATTAACATATATAATCAACATTAAGTTAGTAAAATCTTTCACGTGGCATTGTTCTTTCAATATTTCAACAGAACTACTTTCTGTACCATGTTTGGCTTCTATTTTTGGATGTTTTCTGTAAATCTCTGCAATGTATACAAATTTTTCCATGTTTCTTCTTTTGAAAAATGATACAAGTACAGAAAAATACCTGTTGGTCAGACAGAAATCCATTGTGCTCCCGACTTCCTGATTGAGCTGTCAGTGCTGTCTCTGCTGCACTAGAATTCCAACCAGTATTGTCATCCCTACCCAGTACCCCCTGCTGGACTACAGAACACCCTCCACTCTCCACTGAATAGGGGGAAGGTGTTCTTTAGTACACAGAAATAGCAGCATTGTCAGCTCACTACAGGAAGATAGAAGCACACTGGATTTCTGACAGGATCAACAGCTACTTTTTTGTACTTGCAATGATGTGATAAAACACTGGGATATGCACTGCACAGATGTACTAAATTATATATATATATATATATATATATATATATATATATATATATATATATATTCATTTATTTTATTTGGCCCAGACATATACTTTATCCCAGCAGACAGACCTCCCAAGACATACAGAAATTCCATCTATGCGCAGTATGTGCTGAAGTAGGAAAATCCAGTTACTGCGGATTCTCATGACATGGGCAGGTCTGGATGGCGATTACTTGTGTGAGAACATTCAGATTAAAAGGAAAAGGGTGCTGGACACAGCAGGCCTGATGCAAACCTCTCCAAAAGATACAAAGGAATAAACACCAAATGGCTTTGTTTCAAAGGAAATAGCCTAAGCAATAATAATAATATACAATATTTAAGCAAAACTCAACAGGGAAAAAAGAGAATTTGGTTACTTAACTGGATTAACTTTACACTCTCATCTTTGGAATGCTAATCTGTTACAGGGGATAATCACCTTGTAAACACACAGATTTTCAGAGTCCATCCTTGTTAAGCCCCTAAAACAGTAGTTTAACTAGCCCTACTGCATCATGTAACTAGCATTTGGGGACTGTGATCCCTGGAGTGTAATGCAAATGAGCTGTCCTTTGTTCTTCTGCTGTTGGGAATTAAAGCCACTGTTTGCTACATCTGTATAGGTCTTGGTCAGAGGCTTGGGGTAAGATCAAAAAGAAGGAAGTGTACTCTTCATTCAGATGTCTTACATTTATTATGATGCAGATACAGTCTCCTTCTAAGGGTGCTTTGTGCCATGTGAAGGGTCAGTCACTGTATGCACATAGTAAATTCTACAAAACATTTTTATTCTCATTCCCATAATGCCCCCTCCCAAAAAAAAAAAAATCCACAAAAACATAAGAGAAACTCTAAGGCAGTGTTGGACCTTTGGACAATCTCGTAGAAGACCCAGTGGAACTGTCCCTGTCATGGTCTTCAAAATAGTTTTGCTCAATTCTTCGGCAGAAAGCAATCAAGTTGCTGTAATTCTTGACTTTTTCACGGAGTTCATCATTAGTCAGCTGAGTGGTGAGGATTGTGAACAGATGTCCGAATACCAGAGCATCCAGCTCAGTGGGTCTACAGGAATAGACAAGAAACAGATCAGTGCAGTGTTCAAGGCAAAAACCATCTGTGACTTCTATTAATGAGGCTAAAACACGTAACATAAATTCTGCAAATGTTTCCGATCAGATTAACTCCTTTCACGACTATGGGCTTGCCACTGATTAATTTGGCAAACAATGCTGGAGTGGAAAGGTTTGGAATTGTCCAGATGATGATCGTAGGTCTATGAATACCTTTTTTTGTGTGTATGCTAAATTTACAGGATAACTGCTTGCTCTTTTCACATCATGTAAAAAACATAACATAAATATGTATAATATTTATTGGACATCACCCCCCTTAAGGTGCCTATAGGCAAAAATTAATAATTTAACCGTTTAAGGCCCCTTTCGCATAGGTGGACCCCACCAGCAGATCCGCCTGCTCAGCGGGGGGGATCTGTCCACTGATCCCCTCTAGGCAGGCACATGACAGGTCCGTGTCCACTCCGCTTCTGCTGTGCTTCCCTCTATGGACAGTCCATGTACATCCGACTATCATCTGATCTGATCCACTAGACAGACAATGAACTGTTCCCCATCTGACTTTTTTTAGCAGATCTGATCGGATCAGAAGCAGGAAAGTGTAAAACAGACACATGTCTGTTTACATATGCTGTTCCATGGAGGGCCCGATCGGTCCGTCTGAAAAATGGAAAGGGGGACATGATCGGTCCACCTGTGTGAAAGGGTCCTAATGTATATTAGTTGCCTGTATAGGCTCATCTAGGGGAACAATGACTGGTCAGGTTGAAAAATCTTAATTTTGCTATCGTTTTTTCCCAACAAACTGGTGCCACAGTTGTCTGCAGCATGCCTGCACCTGCTCGGCTTTATAAGCCGAAACACAAATGGTTGCTTGAGATGACTGTTCTTGTTAGGGAAGGGCTGGTTGGCAAAGAGGTCTGTAGGCAATCAGTCTGTGTCTACACTTCCAGCCACACTATCTAAAGACATCTTCATACATATACTTAATGTATTAATTTCAGGTACTTATATAGCGCTGCCAATTTATGCAGCACTTTACATATATTCTGTTCATTCACATCAGTCCCTAGCCCTCAAAGAGTTTACAATTTAAGGTCCCTAACTCACATTCATACATACATTTACTAGGGCCAATGTATTAGGCTCTGTATTATTAGGCTGTACGAGTGTTATAAAACAGCAGTTCTGGATGCACAGTGAACCAAAGGGAATGATTTGCATGGATCTGGCCACTATCCTGAAATAGAAAATAAGCCTCACTGGATTTAAGTTAGAAGTTAAGGTTCCACTGTAATTTACAATGGTTTAGTAGGGGACTCTTTACCATGACCTGTCTGCCTGTTCTTTTCCACACTTTATTTGTCTAATTACCACCCCGGTACAAAATATTATCTCAACATATTGTCATCCATTTTTACTGAATAGTATTGTTTACACAAACATCAGTGATTCTAAAGGATTCATGGCATGAAAACCTATAATAATCACTTGGAAAGAACCAAAAGATGGAGGACATAGTTTCTGTTATCATTCATCCCTAAGCATACTAACAATATAAAATATATTATACTATAGAACAGACAGTAGTGGGTAGCCAGGCATGAAGGAACAACTCTGTCAGACCCTGAGACATTTCCATCTTCAGCAAGCCCCTAAATACAAAAGGTAGTGTCAGGCTACTGTTTGCATTTAGGACTACGGAGAAAGAAGCTAAAGGCCTGCAAGAGAAACCTATGGCACTGGCCTATCATCGGGAAAAAAAGTAAAGTAATCAGACAATGTTTTCCCCCATAAAAACTTAGCGCTTATGACATCTAAAGGTATGCCACCTTTACCATCTGACAAGCCAGTTTTTCCACATAGCAGGAGACTGTCACTTTGCCCATGGACACCCTATGATTTGCATAAATGACTAAAGCTGACCATACACATTGATGTTCCCTGTTCAGTCTGCAGGTTGAAGTGAAAACATCTAACAAAATCCTCTATCCACGCTACACAGCATGAATGAACAAATCTCCTGCTGTAGCTCTTGTATTTTGACAGCCGACCCGCCAGCTGTCAAAATATTTGAAGAGCAGCAGCATTCGACTGTATGCAGGCGCTGCTCAGCTGACAATTTTTATCCTGGCTCCTTCGATTTTTTTCAATCAAGGGATTTTGGGCAAGAGGCAGTTGACAAGAACACCCACTGATGAACTGGTCTAAATTTTAACAGTCTATGGCCAGCTTTAATGGCAGCAAGCGAGGCTCCAAATTTTAAAGTGTAACGTGCAATAATTGGGTTGGTTGCACAAAGATGGTTTTTGGCTTGTTGTAAAATCCCTCTGCAAGCTCCTCCAACCCTGAACTGTATTTAAAGCAAGAAGTAAAGCACATTTTGTCACTGTGCTAGTTCTGCTTGCTGCATTTTTGTTGCAATTCTCTATAATTTGCTATTCAAGTAATCTGAATGTGTTCTTAAAAAATAGATCACAATGCATCTAAAGCAGTTTGACATTTTAAAATATAGATATGTTGGAGATAGTAGCCAATATAGGATACTTATTTAACCACCAAAAAATTAGAGCGATACTTATCAGATTTTGTCATGTGTTCATAAACTATTTCTCATCACATCCGCAAGTTAGCATAGTTTTTGATGGGTGTGTCCTCGCCGTGACCAGTAGATTGACCAGTGCCAACTGTTTCTCACCCTTTCAGCCAGTAGGACAAACTAGATAAAATGCCTGTCCCTTCCCAAAGTCCCCTACAGCTTGTGTGCATAACAAAACTTAGTAAGAAAAGACGAATGCACTTCAAACACTCCCTGACATCCCTCCTGGGCTTTTCATGTGTCTAGAATTCCTTGCAAAGTGAGAATAGGAACTACATAGTGATGGCCGTGAGATCCATTTCTGTTGTGTTAATGGCTAAACAAATGGTAATAAACATCACTGCAAAATCAAAGAGAAGTGGTGGCCCTGTGAATGACAGCACTTCCACCTGAAAGCCCTGAATGCTGCGACCTTGTCACTCAGGAAGATGTCAAGTCACAAGGAGTAGGGTAAGGTATACGGTTATCTCCTGCCATATTACAGAAGATATAGTGCTGTGAAAAAGTATTTGCCCCATTCCTGGTTTTTTTTTTGCATATTTATTACACTTAAATGATTCAGATCATCAAACAAATTTTAATATTACACAAAGATAACCCAAATAAATACAAAATGCAGTTTTTAAATGACGCCTTCATTTTTTAAGGGAAAAAAAGCTGCCCAAACCTGCCTGGCCCTGTGTGAAAAAGTAATTGCCCCCTAAACACAAGAACTGGTTGTGCCACCCTTGGCGGCAACAACTGCAATCAAGCGTTTGCGATAACTGGCAATTCAGTCTTTCACATCACTGTGGAGGAATTCTGACCCATTCTTCTTTGCAGAATTGTTTTCATTCAGCCTCGTTGGAGGGTTTTCAAGCTTGAACAGCCTGTTTAGGTCATGCCACAGCATCTCAGTCAAATTAAAGTTCGAACTTTGACTAGGCCACTCCAAAAAAAATATTTTTTTTGAGCCAGAGGTGAACTTGGGTTATTTACCAGGACAATGATATGAAACACACCAAGTGTGCATGAGCTTGAGGTCACAAACTGATGGGCAGGCATTCTCCTTCAAGATTTTCTGGTAGAGCACAGAAAATCATGTAGAGCACCATGTTTGACTATTGGCATGATTTTCTTTTTTATGAAATGCTGTTAGTTTTACGTCAGATGTAATGGGGGGGACACACCTTCCAAAAAGTAAAAAAGTTGACTCATCAGTCTACAGAATATCTGCCCAAAAGTCTTGGGGATAATCAAGATGTTTTTCTGCAAACTGTGAGACAAGCCTTTGTGTTCTGTTTGGTCAGCAGTGGCTTTCGCCTTGGAACTCTCCTATGGATGCCATTCTTGCCCAGTTTCTTTCTTATTGTTGAATCATGAACTGACCTTCAGTTCTGAGGCCTGCAGTTCTTTAGATGTTGTTCTGGGTTCTTTTATGACCTCCCGGATGAGTTGCCGTTGTGCTCTTGGAGTAATTTTGGTAGGCTGGCCACTCCTGGGAAGGTTCACCACTGTTCCAAGTTTTCTCCATTTGTGGATAATGGCTCTTACCATGGTTTGCTGGAGTGCCACAGAGCCTTAGAAATGGCTTTGTGACCCTTTCCAGACTGATACATGTTAATTTTTTGTTTCTCATCAGTTCTTGAATTTCTTTAGATTGTGGCATGATGTGTTGCTTTTTTAGATCTTTTTTAGCATGCTTCACTTTGTCAGACAGCTTTACTTTAAGTGATTTCTTGATTCAACAGGTCTGACACTAATCAGGCCTGGGTGTGGCAAGTGAAATTTAACTCAGCTTTCTAGCAAATGTATTTAATTACAGTTCATTCATTTTAACAAGGGGGATGGTCAATTACCTTTTCACATAGGGCCAGACAGCTTTTTATGGTTAATAAAATAAATCATAATTTAAAAACTGCATTTTGTATTTACTTTGGTTATCTTTGTGTAATATTAAAATTTGTTTAATGATCTGAATCATTTAAGTGTGACAAATACGCAAAGAAATATAAAATCAGGAAGGAGCAAATACTTTTTCACAGCACTTTAATACGTACATCACGCCAGCTGAAAAGAGAAACTCCAGTTTTTCACCTCGGAAATAGACACTAAAGGCGTTCTGCTATGTGCAACTATATTTCAACAGCCCTTTATAAAAGTTATCTTCATATAATTGTGCATTACCAATTTTGCATAGTTCTCTTGATTTGTATATTTACATAAAAATGGATCTCAGATTTTCCTGCATCGACTGTTTATTCCTATAAGATTGCTGTGAGTTGAACTGTGTACTGAAATCAGTTAGTATGTTTTTCAGCAATTATAGCATACACAGCGCACCCATCACATAAATTTGAAAGGGTGGAGATGCAAGAAGGACCTGTGAAAGTGAAGAAGCCAAAAAAAAA